TGGAAGCAATAAAATAGCGTCTTAGCCTTCTATAAAAGGATGCTTAGAGGAAGCAGAAGACATCAATCATTCTCTTCAGCTTTCTCATTATAATAAAATAATTTGTAATAGTTTGTAATAGGCTGAGTCTTAAGAGATGTAATTTATTTTCCAAATTTTTATGTGTGTTTGTATCTACGCCTTTATCATGAGAGGCTAAATGTAATTTTTTCTCTCCAAAGAAGATTACTTATGTAATAAATTTTATTTGAGTTCATAATAAAAAGGGTTTTTTCTTCACAACATGCTATCATAATGTTCATCTATCTCAATAATTAAGTTCTTGTACGCCTGGAGTAGGAAACGAACAAAGGTTGTGCTTAGTGGTGCCTGAAGAAGTCAGATAACTTGTAGTTCATCTTCCCATAGGTGTGAAGTTGGACGGTGATGAGCCGTCCGTGAAACAAACGAGGGACACTAATTTTTCTACCGGTGGAATTGCAACCCATCTCACCCGGAACCATTTCAGTTAAAAAAGGTACAAAAATTATGGAGTTATTTAATTTTACAAAAACATGTTGGGCCTAGTATTATTTAGTTTATTCTAAGTATTCTTTAAAATAAAATCAAACACTAAGAGACTAGATACTATTAATAAACAAAGCTGACACTATTATCTCATTAAAGAAGTATGATTATTAACATAAAGTTGGTAATAATTTTATGAACTAAAAAAAATATAAGGGTATTGTGAGAATAATAAAGGATTAAATTATAATGCAAGTGGGAAGGAGTGTAGTGGAAGAAAGTTAGGGATATGGACTAAACAATAAGCTCAAAATGAATTTAGGAAGTGAGTTGGAAGACCTACTTTTTTTAAAAAAAATATCTCACAAGTTTTGATTTGTCTATATGTAGATGAAAGAAGTAATGAACATTTGCTTCTATGGTCCCTTCTTATTGGGCTTGCCAATGAACATGAGTAATAATGTAATGATTATAATTAATGTTATATTAGTAAAATAATAATTGTAAATTATTGATAGTCAGAAATGTGTGAATAGATAAATAGTGAATTTTGTTAGAAAATGTGTAGTAAGGATTTGTTGATATTATTTAATTATATTAATATATTAAAAATAGTTAAGTTTGATTAGACTAACAATAGATGCTATTTAAAATTTATATCCAAAACATACCACTAGACAAAAATATAAACAAAAAAATAAATAAATAAATAAATAACGATTTCCAGTATTTACCGGTCATAGATGTAAATCGGTGGCTTAATTTTCCACTATTGCGTGGCCCGTGCGATGCACGGGGAAACAATATTACGATTGTATTATAAATTAAATATATATATAACATTAATCGTGATTTACCCATTGTTTTTAAATTAAATCGGGTTGGACACAGTCCGGGCGGATGGATCGAGAACCGATTTATAACCAGTCTAGTTGCTTGAATAAAATATTAGCTATCGAATCTGTCAACACCAGTCGGTTTGACTGGTAGGATCGATATCGATTTTCTAAATAAATTTGGTTACATTTAAAATTATATAAAATTACATATTTAAATAAAATGGAGATTTATAAACTCTTTATCAATAGTTTAAACATTTGAATTTATAAATTGTTTAGATATTTAAGTATCCCCTTTTCTTTAAATTTATTACAAAAAGTATTATATATATAAAAATATTTATAAATTAAAATCTGAACAGACCACAAATAATTTAATAAAATAACTTGATCTTTTCGATGAGTTATATATATTAAAATGTTTATAAATTAAAATTTGAACAGAGCACAAATAATTTAATAAAATAACTTGTTCGTTTCGATGACGTTCCGGTTCTGAAAACCTTATATTTCTTGTACATTAATAAAAAATATAATAAAATATTATTTTATTCACAAAATAATTAATAAAATAATATATAAATATTTATAAATTATTAAACATGTTGTCATAAAAATATTGTTAATATGATTATTTAAAGTTTGGACTACATCACATTCAAGTAATAAAGTATTTTTAATATTAAAATTTATATTTAGGTTCAATAATCGAATTGGTCTGATCAAACAGATAGATAACTTAGTCACTTTAAGACCAATCAAGTTGTGTCAATTTTTTTGACTATTTTAAATATCACCTAAAAGTAAAACAATCAACTTGGACAATACCCTCATTTAATCATCTGATTGATCAAAAGAAATTTCTTTATTTTTTTTGATATATTTAATTTTATGAAATAAAAATATTTTATGATTCATATAATAAATGTCTACACCAAATGATAGTACATTAAGATTATAAATTATATATCCAAAGATGAATTAATTATTTTTACTTTATGAATATTAATAAAAAGTACCTCTCTTTTTAGTCGAGCATCTGTTATGACCTCTCGCGTTGAGCTCGACTTTAAGGAGAGGAAAGACCCGAAGTTAATTAGTTTTACTTTATGCATATTAATAAAAAAAAATAAACATAGTAATTTTTAAAAAATTAAGATCAATTGATTGATTATGCAATTTAAAGAATATGTGTATTTTCAAGGAATAAATTTCTTCATATAAGGGATTTTGTTTCTTTAAACTATCCAAATTCATATTCATATCGGCAATTTGAAATTTTGAATTACAATAGAACATGACACTATGATACAAAATATCTTTTAACAAATAAATCAGATTCAATTTAAGATTTATAGTTTTAAAAATAATAAAATCATTAATTTAGGCAGTGATATGTGATACATATATCTAAGTCTATTTACATAACATTTTACCATTAAACCATTGGCAATTTAAATAAGAAGACTAAAATATTTCTGTGATTTAAACATAGAAAATAAAAATTAATTTTACAAATTACGTGGTCATTAATTTAACAAATTTCAAATGATGCTGTCCGTATTTTTAAATTAAAAATTAAAAAAATTATCATTAATAGAAAATAATTAATACTAAGCATCTTTAACCATAAAATTGACTTGTCATTTTTAAAAAATATTAATTCTTATTATATATATATCGATCGATATCGATATCGATATCGATTAGCAAACGCGGTTACCAAATATAAAAAAGACGTGGTCATTATTTTTAAAATCGATAAACAAATAAATAAACTCATTTATAAAATGAAATATAGAGCAAAGGACCAGCAACCCCACCCATTTATCACATAACAAACATGACTAAACAACGCACACTTCCATTCAGTAACATTGCTATATAAAGCAAGGGCAATTGCGTCTTTCCGCAGTCCATCCTTTTGGAACAAGGAAAAATCTGTTTCTAATTCTACCACAGGTCCTCGAAGCCGTGGCCTGTGGGCCCCCAATCCCGGATTCCAAAGGCTTTCTCAAATCCAATTAAATAAGCTTTAGAAAAACATTTAATTTTATCTTTAAATAATTAGCCCTAGAAAAGGAAGAGAGAACACGTCACCCACATGCCGGGGGTGGTGGTATATTAGTTGGCCAACAGCCCCCCGCGTAGATGGAGCCGGCAGCGAACACGTGTACGGCAACAGATGATTCTGGAACTAACTTTATTCAGCCAAAATCTTTATTGCCAGCTCACCACCAAATTGGTTTTAATTTCTTTCTTATTTTACTATTAATTAAATATTTCTTGATATGGCAAGCCAATTAATTAAATTCACGTAGTTACGTGTGATTTGGCCACCACACACTTTCACTTTTTTTTTTCGGGTAATTATAATATAATATTTTTCAATATGCTGTAAATTAACTGATTTTTTTTTTTAAATATAAATTAGCGCTGACATATGTTCCTCCAAATGGTGTGTGATTTGGAATTCATAATTTATTAAGTACTAAATACATTATTATAATATTAAATTTCCCTTGATAATGAGAATTTGTATCAGTTATTTGGAGGACCCCGTGTTCAATCGGCTCAAACAAAATCAAATATTATAATAGTTGAATCATATTCAAGATGACGAGTCATTATTTTTGGGTACATGTAGATATCCTGGTATTGTTACAATGAGCTTAAATATTATTTTAATTTTTACGGAATCCCGTGTTAAGATTTCATAAGTTTTTAATATTATATCCACATGTTATTGGCTGTGACTGTGAGCCTGTGACATGTCGAAGGTAGTTGTTACATACTTGACTCCTCTTAACATATGACGCATAAAATATAATTAATTAATTTAAATATTTATAATTTTAATATATAATTAATCGTATACGAGCATTAAACTATAGAGCACTAAACAAAAAGCAAGTAAATAATTATGTAAATACAAATAAATTTAATACATATAGATTTATGTGTGAAAATTGTAAATGTACCGTAACAAACTCAAATACATTTTACCATGTTATTACGAATTTGTTTTATGTGCTGCTACTATATTTATTATTGCTTATCGATTTCTACCATATACAAATTCTAGCACGTGTGATATATTTTTTTTTTTTTTCATATTATAATATATGCATTTATCGAAGTACTCCAACACGTATTCAATAGAACAAACTTTATAATTTTAGGGAAATCATATAAATGAAAAAAAACTAATAAAACATATCAAGTTAAATATTCAATTAAACAACTTCTGAATATCTAGATCAAGCATAGAAATTATGATGAGAAAAATCAGAAATGTATTCCCTTTTACATACATAAAAATCGATACGAGGAAATTTATGAATTCCTTAATTTTATTTTATTAATTCACCAACACAATCGACAATGTGACTTGTGTGGGCTGGTTAATTTACTCGACCTTTCATAAAATTCACAAAGAAATTTAAAATACAAATATTGACCTTCTGTTTCATTTATTTTTAATGAATATATCATTAATATATATAATATGCAACTTAGAAGAAGATGATTCATCATACTACGATTTAACAAATCACAGACATACATAAAAAAACATCGCAGCGGTCAAACACCAAAAGCTATAAATGACGAAATGGAAAACAAAAAGAAAGTAAAATCCAAATTTTAATTGTAGCTTGAAACGTTGAATAATAATTAATAATCGGGAAAAAAAGGCATTAAATGGAATTTGGCGTTCTCTCTTTTTCACATTGTATTGCATTGCACGAGATTTATACGGGATTACTGTCAATATTTTGTACATAGACACGTGTTGTGTGACGTGGATTGTTGCCTTGGCGTTCCCTTTCTCTTTCTTCTTCTTCTTCCTCCTCCGTCCCTCCCCTACCTTTTTCTCTCTCTAAAGCTCCACTGTAAAAAAGCACATCTAGAGAGAGAGAGAGAGTCAATAGAAAAAAATGCATGGAGTTTAGTGGCATAAATTTGGTTTGGAAGTGTAATTAGGTCTCCTAATTCATTTTTTCAAGGTATGTTTACTTCTAATACAGCTATTTTTTCCTTTTCAAATATCCTGGTGTTAGCTGAATTTATTTGAGGCCTTATTATGGTTGTACTTTTGCTGATCAAGTTGTGAGTTATCGTGNTTTAATCTTACCTTGAATTAGTTAAAAAATGAAATAATTAAGTCTGCCTCTTGTGGGGTTTTTAGTTCTGTTTATTAAGTCTTCTAACTGTTGAAATTATGAAAATTCTAAGCTGTTATTTCAGATTTATTAACTGCATATTGCATAGAATTTACAGGAATTTGAGTATTTCATTTTTTATTTTTATTTTTTTCTCGCTTTCAATTTCCATTCTCATATTCAGGCGGCTTATAATTTCATATAATTTGATAATTTCATGTTGTTTAGTTCAGAAATTTAGGTAGTTGACGAGGATAATTTTGTCATTGTGCAATTTTTGTTGGATTGGAAACAGTAGATTAGCAGGGATACAGTGCTTGGTTGGGACTTGGGAGGGGTAAAAAGACGATATTGCCCTTATGCTTGTTCTTCTGTTTATAACTGATATCCAACCGAATTATTTATACAACTTTGCCATCTCTCACCGGATCTCGTGCTCAAATTTGTTTGTTACCTCACAACAAATTTCATTTCTCAATTCCATTTCGCACTGAAGTTTGTTGTTTTTATGACTGAAGACAAAAATTCGTATGCCCCTTGCTGACGGAAAATATCTGCCATGAGCTATAAGAATATGAATGGCAAAAGCTGAATGAGGATTTCATATTGGTGCTCATAGTCCATCAGAATCCAATATTCGAGCTGTATTTGTTTGGGTGTTGACGAGGCTTTAGCCGTCCAAACCCTGTCCAAATGTAGCATGATTGAATTTGCCATATTATTATGTGCATGCTTTTCATGTGGCAGAACCATTGATACTTGTCATCTCTCTTTTGTTGTCATTCAGCAAAGGTTCCTGAGAATATCATGGGAAACAGTGATGATGCGAAGCTAGGTTCCAAGCCCGAAAAATCGTCTGCAGTAGCAACTGTGAGCACCAAAAAATTATCTCAGTAAATTTTACAATGCAAGATATTAGTTGGGACTCTGTTGTCTAAATGACCTTACATTTTTTTTTCCTTTACATGAAAATCACTTTTATCATGCTCGACTGGTGTGATTCAAATCTGAACAATTTTCTACATATACTTTTTTTTTTCCTTTCTTAATTAGCAAGGTGGGTTTTTACATGGCAGGACCAGAATAACATCCACTTATATCCTGACTGGGCAGGAATGCAGGTTATCCCACTCTGCCTGTGCCACTTTCTCTCTCTAGCAAAAGCATACACATAACATGTAATGGATTTTTTTAATGAGAATTGAGTATGATTCATTATCCTTCAGGCTTACTATGGTCCCCGGTTTGCTGTACCGCCATACATGAACTCAGCTGTTGCTTCTCCTCACACTCCTCCACCTTATATGTGGGCTCCACCACAGGTATCAAATCGATTATTCGTACTGTGAGTCGATTGAATTCGTTCTGTGCGCAAATGAACTCTACCAATCTACAATAATCTTACAATCAGATTCTTTTCTTTTGTGTTCTCTTTTTTAAGTCTATGATGCCTCCTTATGCGGCTCCATATGCTGCATTCTATGCACACGGAGGAGTTTATGCGCATCCTGGAGTTCCTGTGGTAATAATTCCCCTATAACACACACACACACACACACATATGTATACACATATATAAGTTGGTGAATGACATGATTTGATGATTGCATTTGTGTTTGATGTAGGCTAGTACTACTTTGAACATGGAAACGCCGGCCAAGTCAACAGGAAATACTGATGGAAGCTTTGTGAAGAAGCTGAAAGAGTCTAATGGGCTAGCAATGTCGATAGGCAATGGAAATGGTGATAGTGCTGATCATGGGACTGAACGTAGAACGTCAGACAGGTTTGTGAACATTGAGAAGGCATGTCAATTCGTCTTTAATATTTTTAGGAGGTGTTGTGGGGGCAGGGTGACTGTAAACTCTTCAAATAAGCTGTTTATGAGCTTATAAGCTGTAAAACTTTGGTGCTGGCGACTTTTCAGTACAATTTTTATGGTTCTTGCTTATTTAAACGTGTCTTTGACTAATGGGCCAAGTTTTTTTTCTTTATAAACAGTGATGAGACTGGAGGTTCAAGTGATGGAAGTAATGGAGTTACACCGCGGGTAAGACTCTTTGGATTGTTAAATTTTTTGCTCCTTTATCGATGGATTTTTTCATTCCAGGTTTACTGTCAATTGTCTGTTTAGTTAAAATTTGCTGCGTCTCATTTTATGTTTGTCATTTAATTAGGCTGGTCAGAGGGGCAAGAAGAGAAGTAGGGAAGGATCTCCTGACAAAGGTAATCTTATTTTTGTCAATGTTAAAAGTTTCGTGTTAGTTCATGAACTGGGACTTGTAATCCTCATTGGAACCCTCCTTTTTCCTCCCCTCTATTATATTCTGGTTTTGTAATTTTTGCATGTTTCATCTCTTCGATCGAATATTAATGATATAAATTTTTGTTTCCTTATAATTTTTCTGAGTTTAATTTTTGCACATATGTGGCCTCATCTCTTGGGTCGAATATTCATGATACAAATTTTTTCAGTTATGGTTATTATTGTCTGCAACTATATGCATAAAAATACATGAAGGAAGCTTTTATGGATTCTATGCCTGGAAGCTGTTTCTTATGTTTCAACATGTTACATATATAGTCACGCTCAAGCATTTTGATATAATGTTTTGTGTTGACTCATTGCTACTTGCCATTTGATTTGGTTTAAAATCTCTCACTTTTAGTCTTATATTTGGTTCGTCTAATGCTTTAACTGGCTGGGAACAGGAGATGGCAAAGCCCCTGAAAAAAGCAGTGAAGTTCCTGCTGTGGAAGTTGGACAAGCTTCTGAGAAGACGGTAGATGTAATAACTCCTCCTGCTAATGTGCCTGTTAAACCAACAGAGAACACAAACACTGCATTAGTACTCAAAGATGTCAAGTCCAGCCCAATTACTGTTCCTTCTCACTCGATGCCAAGTGAAACCTGGTTGCAGGTGTGTGACAAAAGGATATTGATTGTAATTTGAATCTTCTGATTTGATGAGTGAAATTATCTTGAGAGTCTTAATGATGATGATGATGATGATAATAATAATAATAATATAATAATAATAAACATTAAAGTATTAATTATAAGCTTAGAGAAAAAAAGGTCTGATTAATTCTATCCCTATTGTTTTCAGTCCTTTAACTTCAGAACATATACTGTGTGGTCAATTGATTACGCCTTCAATAAGATGTCCCGACTGGTTATATCGTTGGGCTTTGATAACTGCCTGAACAGCTTTCTCGATATTTTTTCTGGTTTTATATATATTCTGACATATGATCAGAATCAATACCTTTGCTGATCATGCATTGTCAATTCTTTCCCTAGATTTGGAAAGCTGATATTTCCCAATATGTTCTTTTCCCCACTCTTCTTTCTTTTTTTTTTTCTTTTTTATTAATTCTCTCCCACATTATATCTGGTCATAGAATGAAAAAGAGCTGAAACGGGAGAGGAGAAAACAGTCCAACCGAGAATCTGCTCGAAGATCACGCCTTAGGAAACAGGTTAGTTATATGACTGCTTCACAATATTTTGTTCCTATATATCACGATAAAATAATTTTCATTTTATCCATCGTCTGCTTCGACTCGTCACTTTCCTACTAAACATTTTCCGTTCAACTTTTGCTCGTCTCAGGCCGAAACTGAAGAACTAGCTGTGAAGGTGCAGGTGCTGACTGCTGAGAATATAACCCTCAAATCAGAGATCAACAAGTTAATCGAAAGCTCTGAGCAACTGAAGCTTCAAAATGCCACCCTAATGGTATAAACTACATCATGCATTAACAATTTAGTTCTAATTTCTAAAGAAAATACCTTTTGGTTTTTTATGTAGATGTTTCCAAAATAATAATAATAATAATAATAATAATAATAATAATAATAATAATAATAATAATATTAAATAAATAAATAAATTGCAGGAGAAATTGAAAGATGGCCAGCTAAAACCGGTCAACACGGTCAACCTACTTGCAAGAGTCAACAACTCGGACTCGAGTGATGCTGGCGACCTGCATGAGAATCGAAGCCCGCGGGCCAAGCTTCGTCAGCTTCTGGACACGAGCCCCAGGGCTGATGCCGTGGCTGCTAGTTGATCTTCAAGGCCACGAGGGCAGCTATTTTTCTCCTGATCGCGTAATTTTTGGCAATAATTACAAAGCCCAAAATAACTTCTAACAACAGCAATAATAGCCTAATAGGGAGTGTGATGATGATGATGATGATGATGTTAATCTCTCGGCAAAACCTGGAATGTAACTTTTGGTGTTCGGATTTGTCGGGATGCTACTTTTAACTTGTTGTACCGTATTTTTAGGGAGAAAAAGAAGAAAAAAAAAAAAAGATGAAAGTAAATGGGGATTCTAATATAACTACTAGTGATGAAATATCGATGCTACTTGAGGCCCTTTGAATTTTAAACGAAGGTGATGGATGTATCATGATTTTAGTAATTGTAATTTGGTTTGGACTGTGAGAAATGACGATGCAGCTTAATTGGTAGATATACATATACATATACTATGCTTGTCCTGGGTTTTCTGTTCTGTTTCAGTTTGGCTTGTATCTACACTTGACTACAGTATTGAGTTCAACCAACTGGTTCAAAATTGATGAACCTAACCTGTTTTTGGTCATAATACAAATGTTCCCTACATTTCGTTTGGATGTGTCCGTGCAACAGTGAGTATTGAAATATATTAGTACGACATTGGTATTGTAATTCATTATTGAATAAACATGATAACATGATGCAATAATGAGGACTGGATGGAAGCATCAAATGAACAAACAGCTTAGCCCACCCACAAACAAAGACAGAAAAAAGAAAAACGATAAATAAATATGACCAATAGGTTTGAATTTTAAGCTGTTATCTCATCTCTTTATTGGGCTACGTGCGAATTAGACAAGCCGACTGGGCATGCTGGATCTTGGATTTATTCACTTAAAACAAGTATTTTTTTTAGTTAATTGTGGTTAGTTTAAAAAAAGTGATATGGTAAGTTCTTTTTAAGATTTTGAGTTTATAGTAAATAATGTTCAAAATAAAATAATTAAAATTGATTTAATGTAAGAGTAGGAGAGAGATAATGTAAAGTGATGAGTAATTAAAATTATGTGAGTCACTAGTGGATTTAAGCGTGGCAAGGCTACAATGAAGGCTATTGTCCCCTCAAACTATTAATTATTTTTATTATATGTATTTGCCAAACTTTTTATCTTCCATTTATACAATATATACTATATATTATAATTATATTCAATTTATACATATACCTCATTATCATCACTAATTATTCAAATTGTCTATGTACTAAGAATATTAAACTATATTATTATTTTGTAAGTAATATTTCACACCCTTTAAATATAATATTTGTGTTTTTCTTTTATAATATAGTGATTAATTAAATTGAATGTACGAAATATGTGAAAAAAATGACAATAAATAATTTTAAATAAGGAGATGAAAAGGAATTGTAAGAATTATTAGTATGTAGTCAATTGTTGATGAGTCTCTTGGTTTGAAATAATGTCAACACATATTTAAAATATCAAACTTCAAAAGTTATATCTATTATAGAATATTTTTATAATTTATGGTATCGAATTTAGAATACAACTTTATGCCTTATATGCATATATAGTGTGATATTATTAAATATTGTATATTTCTTCTAGAGGTGTTATTGGAGTCGAGTTGAATACCTCATGATCAAGCTCGTGTTGTTTAATAAATGTGTTGGCTTGGTTTGACTATTAAATAAACGAACAAAAATGCGAGCTTGAACTTGATTCATTTAATAAGCAAATTACTCGAGTTTTCACAGGTCAATTCGAATTATAATCGCAAATAATTCATTTCAAAAAACAATTCTAGTCCCCCTAAAAAAAAAAGTTATGGATCCTTCCCTGATATGAGTAGATGAATAGTAAATTGAAGTTGATGTGATGTGTAAAAACAATTGGTTAATATTATTTAATTATATTAATAATATCGAGGATAGTTGAGTTGGGTTAGATTTGTGTTAGATTTTGAGTATGAATTGGATATGAATTGAGTTATTTGACAAACACACTGTAAGTGATGCTTGATATAATTGTACTTGGATTTTTCCAATCACAACTCAAATTTAATTTAAATTTAACTCAATTTCAAACATTCTCAATATCTTTCCTATATATAATTTCCAAATGTGTTAAGCCTAGTCTCGCATGCTTCGAGATCCTATGTGTCAAATTTTCATGCTTTGTCATTTGGCTCTGATAATTTACTTCTAATAAAAAAATAACTAAGTCTGGAATATTCATAAATATACTGGATATTTATGATCTTTTGTAAGAGCATTAATTATGTTAAATTTCATATTCAAGATGTGGTTTATAAGGCATAATTTTTTTTTTCTAATATTTCTTTTTTCTCATATTCTTTTAAAAGTTGGTAAAATTTTACAAATTTAAATTATAAGTAGGTTTAAAAGTTCATAATTTTTTATTTTTTACCAATACTATATATATATAATGTATCAAAATTTTAACTACTCATCACTTTCAATCACATCTATCATATTTCTACATCAATTCTACTTTAATCAAATTTTTATATATTATTTTATACAAACTCAAATGTTCACTTAACCTAACTCAATCAACTTTGATTAATCAAATACAAATAAAAACCAGAACATCCAATCAAAAACTCATATCCAAGCACTACCTTAGGGTTTTTTTTCGTAATACGATTCTATTTATTTATTTGTTTATTTTATATTGATTCTTAATTTTATTCCTTTTCATTTATGCCGTAAATTTCAAAAAGTTTGATTTGTTTGGACCGATTGATCAATAATTGAAACTCATGTTTTCTCTAGTAGTTAATTGTTCAATTGGAGTTTCTGACCAATGAATGTCGGTGTTACCCACTAACTATCCAAAGGGCAATTTCGTTGTAGGTTCTAAATCGACTTTATAGGTATTCACCCACTTAAAATATGAAGCCCGATCATAAAGCATGATTACTATAAATTATGGAATTTTTGTAGGCTACGTATGGATTTAGGCGGCAATCAGCGGATAACAGATAACGGATAGCGGATTGTATTAGTAGATAGCGGATTATATTAGCTGATTTGATCAGCGGATTGTATTAGCGGTTTTTAAATAAGTGTTTGATAAATAGCTGAAAGCTTATAGCTGTTTGACATTGCAAAATGACCAATAAGGACATTTTATTATTTATGGTGTATTCTTTTAATAATAATATATTAAAATATTTAATATTCTTTAATTGATAATTTATAAATATATATATTTTTGTAAAATTTACTAACACTTGATGAAGAAGTTATGAATTTTACATTTTTCTAGATAAATTAATCATATGGATGACATATTATTATTTATTAGCACCTTAAACCAATGTAGATTGTAAAATAAATAAGACAAATTAAAAAGTTCTGAGTAAGCTATTTATTATTATTTTTTGTGAATCATCTGTCCCCAAAACGCTGCTCTAATGAGCTTTTTTTAAATTAGAGTTTTGGGCCCAAAAAACTTATCAAATAAACTATTTACCAAACAAACTAAATAGCGGATTTGACGGGTTAAACCTCTCAATTAAGTCCAATCCGCTAATTTATCTTCAATCCGCTATCTGCCAAACGGGGCTTAGTGATTTAGTGATTTATCGAAGTATTTGAAATCTATAGATTTCAAATTTATAAGTACTTATTCCTACACATTTTTGAATGATAATAGAAGTTGGTGAATCTCAAAATCAAGTCAGACAGAGTCATTATTTTGAAGGCTTTTAAATGACTCTTCAAACTTAATCATTTGAAATCCACTATTTAGCCCATCATTTACGATCACACCGTCTGCAAGTATGAATCTTCATTTAGATTCATAACTACTGCGAGCCAAAACCATCAACGCGAGCCAGACAGTATCTTTACAATCTTTTCCACAAATCTATTTACGGCGTTTAAACGTAGCAAGTTTAAATTTCAAAAGATACAAAAGTAAAGAATTTATAATTCCTCAATCCAAATATAACCTTAGGTTTTTCCGATGCAATGGAATTCAAAAAGTCCACCAAAGTTGATGATCACCACCAGTATGAGATATCATACCCGGAAGAGCAAATACAATAAATCAATCAATCAGTTTGAACGAGTCGGGTGGTCGAAGCGAAGCAACATGGAGGTCGAATATCAACAAGGCATCATCAAGTCGAAAGGAGTAAGAATGACTTAGAAGGACGACGACAGGTCGAACTATGACCCTCAGATGGCTTACTGAAAACTTGACCCGTAGGCATGGTTAGTCATGCGATCGACCATAAACGACAACACTTAGGCTCAGAACAGGCAGCGTTCCACCTCACACGACCTCGAGCTGGTCTCACCATTAGGCGATCTAATATGAAAGACTACATAATAAAAAAGAATCTTAAGAGGTTAAGAGTTGTACGTGGATAGGGCCATGTGGCCTAACAGAATTGGGCGGTTCGGGTAGATCGGGTAGTTTGTGCTGTATTATCGGGTAGTTCGGGCAACAAGGTATCCTCTTCCTATATAAGGGATTGTGGTATGCCCATTATCATATTACACTCTCTACATACATTTATATACTGCAGTTCAAATCTACAAGTGCTAACTTAAGCATCGAAGACTTTTCACTGGGGGAGGTGAGTGAGGGATAGAGGGGCTCACAATACGCCCAGTCGCTTCTCGTGGATTTTCATAACCCTGCTGCGCAAAAACGGGGTATGCACTTGAAATGGATGTCCGAGGTAAACCCTTCTAGTGTGAGAGTTTTTGTAGGTCCAAAGGCGTTCAACCGGTGAGGAGCTCAAGATTAGGCCAAGCCAGTCGAATGTCTTTTACGTACCATTTTGGCAACGTCTGTGGGGAATTTTGTTCGAAAAGTCATGAAACACAATAGCCATGGCAAGTGAGATTCCCAAGAATAAATTGGAAACGTTCGACGATGCGTGGTCAAACACGTGCCCGTTCAGAGCAGGCCCACCATCTCAGACCCTAATGACCCTGATGCCTCGTCTTACAGGCTTAGAGAGTTCATCAGCGGCCCCTATTGGTGTTGTGGGCTCGAGCCATGTGCATGAAGCTCGAGCGACCCAAGAAGTGGTGATTCAATACACCCACCAGATCTGGTCCAACCACCGCCCGTTGGACCGTCGAGGAGCGACACCGAGCGAGGGCAGCTTGTGACGATGTCCAAGGAGAAGTTGGAAAAAATGATAGCCGATGTAATGGCAACCGGAGCAGTTCAACAAGCCACTTATCAAACGTTTCAGACCACCACCATGCCGACCACAGTGGTGGGGACAAACCAGTAAGAAACGAGATGGACGAGTCAAGTTATAGAGAATGAGGTACTCAGTGTGATCGAGCTTTTGAGAGGATGGCAGAGAAAATCCGTCAGTTGCAAGCAAAAGTGGAATGAAAGTCGGTATGTCAAGCTCGAGGATACCCTTTCTCTAGAGACATTCTCGACGCGATGTTGCTATTTTTGGGAGATTAGTTTGACGTACGACGAGTCGGCGAATCTGTCGAGGCATGTTCAATTATTTGAAAATATGGTGGTTCTGCATGGGTATTCGGATGCTGTGAACTGCAGAGCGTTCTTATCTACCTTGAGGGGAGGTGCTCAGGATTCGTTTCACCAACTCCCCCAAGGGTCGGTGAAAGATCTGAAGGACTTTTCGAGATTATTTCTAAATCAGTATGCTAGTATAGCCGAGGAGAAAACTGACACTGATGGCGATGAAGCAAAAAGAGGGCGAGTCATTGAGGAACCATGCGGCGAGGTATAACCTGTTGGGTTCTATTAGGAACGTCGTTGATATGCACCTTTGAATCTAACGAGTTAAATCCTGACGCAACGGAATTTATAGTTAGGTTTAGGACTTACAATATTAATATTTGCCGACTCTGATACGTTTTTTATTTTTCGCTATTGGAGATCGTCCAAATCTCAGAGTCCGTTGGGTTGCCGAACTAGGCCTTGCCATCATGTCTTCGGTTGCTCGTCGGGCTCGACGGACCATCCCGGACCTCTAGTGGCTTAGTCGAACTGCTCGGGACTCGCCTTGGGCTTGCTGGGGCTGCTGAACCACTTATGGATCGGTTTAGACTGCTGCTCAACTAGGCTGGCCCGCTTCTAGGTGCTGGTGACTCGGCTGGACCGGACTGGAGCTGGGCTGGCCAGACAGACCCGGGACTAACGCTGAAGAGCTATGGACTGCACGCTGAGAGAGACCTAGGTCACGGGAACTTCAGGCACATGCATTGGGATGCAGTGCGCTGATTGCACGAGAAGCTCGCGGATCTTGCTACGGGTCACGCTGGGGTGCTGCGGGTCGCGCGAAAAGCACGCGGGTCACCAAATAGGGACGCAGATCGCCGAGAGTGGTTCTTCGCGAGAACGTGGACACCTGGAGCGGGCTCTGTGCATGACAGGCTATAGCGCCCACTTATTTTTCTTTATTATATTTTATATAGTAATTATCATTAATATATAATAAAATTCTACAGTTATATTTTTTTTATAAAATCTAAATTTCAGCTAAGAGTAGTTAATATAAAAATTCAATTATAAATTTTAGACATATTATTAAATTACTTTTTATTTTAATTATATATATATATAATTTATATTATTTTTTATGTATTTGGTTTACTAACAATGTTAATGGTGTCTATCCAAACCATGTGTAATACAGTGGCAATGAATCCAAATTTATTAATGTTAATAATATCATTTGATCCAGTTGAATTCTTCCGTATGGCTGTTTGACGGTTTTGTTTTAATGTTATCACTAGTACGTATTATGCATGTGTTTAATATAATAATTAAATATAGAATAAAAAATTTAAGGAAAAAAATGTTCATATATATATATATAGATATATATTAAGTTGGCAAAAATAAATAACGAACAATATATAATAATTTAATAATAAAGAACTGGCAAAAATAAATAACGAACAATATATATTAAGTTGGCAAAAATAAATAACGAACAATATATAATAAGTTAATAATAAAGAATTGGGTGAGTTAACAATGTTATTTTAAATTTTGAAAACTAATTTATATACATCATTAGGTTTATTTAGAACACATAAAAGAATAATATGGATAAAACACAAATGTTGGAAAGTAAGATAATATGCAAATTATAGAAAGAAGATAATAAATAAATTAATATGAAATAGTTTAAAAATATTAAATATGTGTATATATGGCAATCAAAACCTTAACTATTTGGTGTTGAAAAAAAAGTAATTTTTATCAAAGTCATATTACAAATCATAATATTTTTGCACATAAGATTACAAAGCGTGCGAAACTACCAATTAAGCTCAGCACGTTCTGAAATTATATATAAGGGGAACATCAATTCAAAGCTTTGCAGAATTTCCAAAAAATTGTAATTGCTTAGTTTTAATAATAAGCTTATTCTAATTTATTATTTTGTAAATCGGACAACTAATATACTTAATTAAAAAAATAATTTATCAATACTAATTAGAGTTCCGATCGTTTGAAAACATCGGATGACCTGCAAAAGGGGGCCGAGAGGATCTTCCGGCGTTAGCACACCAACGTCGAGTTTATACAAGAAATGAGATAATAAGCTATGTAAATTAAGTAGATATATTTAGAGCGTGTAGAGATTTTATTACAGTGATACCACAACTCGTTTTATAGCGGATGTCTTAGTGCCTAAGATTGGGCTTCCTGATCTGCGCAGCTGCCCCTGTCAGTCTGCCCAAGACGGTTATGGGGTGCTCGGCGTTTTATCTTATCCTAATGTTATCCTCATTCTTATTAGATTCCTTCTTATCCCCTATTAGATCCCTTTTGTTCTCCCTTAGGTCCTTTACTCGACCTTTGCTCTTGGTGTCTGCTACAACTCAAGTGCCAATAAATCGCAATAGACTAGGTCGTCTCTATAGGGATCTAAGAATAAGGTCCCTGCTGTCATTCTGGAGGTCACCTTCACCAGTGGCTTATGTCGTTCCTTTCGTGCACATGTCTTTCTCTCCTGACTTTAGTCAATTTATTCCCGCAGTCCTTTCTTATGTTCATTCTTCAAGTCGACCTGGCTCTTTCTCCAGCTGGTCGACCTATATCGTTAATTCAGTCTAGACTAGCTATGATTGTACACACACGCGATTGAAATAAAAATGTATGAATATACTGATATTAAGAAAATATATATATACACACATGTATATATAAGATCACCTTTTTTCACTAAAACCACACCTATTAAGACATCTTAAGCATAAAATAAAAAAGATAAATAAAAATATAATAATAAAATGTATCTTGTTTTTGATCAATTTTATAAGAATATAAATTATAATATGTTGACCGTATTTAAAATTATATTTTTTTTTATATTTATAAGGATGAAAATTTTATTTCTAATGGAGCTGATCATGCAGTGATAAATCAAAATACTTATATTTTATGGTTCTTTTATATTATCATAAATAAAATTAAATTGGTAATTTTTACTAAAAAAAGTAAGAGAAGAAACAATCGAGGAGAAATAAACCACGAGCACTTTTAAGTTTTAACCGCTTGAACCAAAGGACTTCTACACGTGAAAGTTATATTTGACAAAGAGAATACTTTTTCTCGTCAATATCCATCAACACAATCAATAAAATTTCTTATACTATATCACATTTGACAATTGTGACAAAAAGATAATTTTTTTTTTTCTAGTCAAAAACTATCAACTGAATAAATCGACAATTGTATTCGAATATTATGTTTGAAAAAAAAAAATCGTACCTTCACTTATGCTGTCGCACTAAATAAGGTAAATTGTGATTTTTTGCTTAATGACTTTAAGCGCAGGTGATGCACGTGACCCTTTTTTTTTTCCCCAGCGGTTCGTGTTAACTTTTGATCTGAATTTGGTTGATTTTGTGGAATTGTACCTTTAACCCTATTTTTCATTCGTGCTTCGATGGTTGGACATCAAAACCAGGTGCATTTTGGGCTTTTACCCTTAGCATAGGGTTCTCCTCGACCGTTTGTACATTTTAACACTCATCTCCCACATTCTTCATCCCCCACAAGGAGTAAAAAAAAAAAATCAAATATACAAAGTAGAGACATTGTGTTTTCCTTTTCTTTTTTCTTTTTTCTTCTAAACCCATTTATCTTTGATTTTTTCGCATTCACATGAATGTTTCATTATTTTATTCAAGCCATCCCATGTTTCCACATTCCTGCTTGGTACCACAGGTTCAGTTACTCTATAGTCTATACAATTGTTGCCTTTTTTTAATACAGTTTTGAGTGATGATTAATTAACTCATTTATGGTCAACAATGTAAAAAGTTCTCATTTTTTATGTATTTTTTCATCGTTTTGTTGGCTGTCTTTTTGTTTCCTTAAAATGGGCTTTCTTGATTCTGAATGCTTCATGTGAAAGTTCGTTCATCCCTTTATTGCCAAGTTACTCTATTTGTCCGTTGTACTTAAGTTTGGTGTTTTATTTTGAATTCTGCGGAATTCCTAGGAAATAATTGGTTCCGGAGATTCTCTTGTTCTTGTTGTAATCGGTGTTTTGGGGGTTTTAGATTTGAATTAGGAGTTGGGTTTTTGCAAATTTCTTTTTCTTTTTCCCTTTCCAATCTTTTCCAAATATTTTGTTATACTTTAGACTTTAGAGTGATGTTGGCCTTTTATTGTCATTTCCTCAGACTCTTCTTCAGAATTTATTTATTCTAAGTTTGACCCTTCATGGCTTTGCCGCAGGATTTAATGGTGACACAGTTTCGTGTTGGATTGCCTTATTATTCAGTTAGAGAAGTTCTTTGATGGTATATTTGCGAAATGTCTATCCTGCTGACCGCAATCTTAGGGTGGTAAAGGGAAACTTTTTTTGTTTAATCATCATTGAAGTCATCATATTTCATCAATTTTCGAGTCAAGGAGATTTCTTGAATCTGAGAGCGCATGACGAGGGTAACATTGGATATGTTAAAACATCGGTTATGCAAATTTGGCTCCATTCTCCCATAAACATTTCGTGAGCAAGGTCTTGGAAATTGTTGAACGGTCTGCTGTCAAAGTGACACTTGTCCACTTACGTTTTTTTTGTGAACACAGAACGAAATCAGATTCACCACGAGTTTATTAGTACTTCTGTGGTAATATATAGCCACTCGAGAGTTAACAAGCAAACAGTTTCTTTATGCTCTAAAGAATGGGGCATCCTGCTGCAGTTTGGGACCATAAGGCTTCACTTGAGTTGACAAAAGATTGGAATGGAATTGAACAAGTCGTGCTTCGAAACCCTCAGGGGGCGTCGGCAAGAGTAAGATCGGTTTATTGTTTGCTATTAATGTGGAATTGTTGCGTGTGTAGAAATTCAGATGTTATTTTTAATTTAACTGTCTTTCCGTTTTTTGTAAGATAGTTTCTGTTTTTGGTGTGATTACATCTGTTTAGTTTGGTACGGAATTTTCCTAAAATGTTTGTGTTTTTTGTGAATTCGGGGGAACATTTAGGTAAGTCTGCACGGAGGACAGGTTATCTCGTGGAGAAATGATAGAGGTGAAGAACATCTGTTCACTAGTAGTAAGGTGTGGTTTATGTCCTAATTCCACACAGATCTTTTCTCGATTTTTATTATTTATTATATATATTATTGAGGTTTTGCAAGTTATGCGATCCAAGGGGGTAGTGTTGCTTTTAACTTGGAATGTTAAAACATATATTCACTTATTTTTTCTTAAATTAGTTTTTGTTAATAAAATTATTTATGTTGGAATTGTAAAATAATTGCAGGCCATATTTAAGTCTCCAAAAGCAATGCGCGGAGGAATTTCCGTTTGCTTTCCACAGGTATGTAAAGTGAGGTTGCTTATCAACACAAGGATCCCATGGTTTGAAGTAAAATTTTTTTAGCAACTAATCTATTGATCTTGTTTGTGTAAATACCATAATACAATGCATTTAAAATTCTTTGAGCACCCTTTTAATATACTTATTTTTTAATTATCATAGTGGATTTTATTTCAAGTCCGACTTGCATGAAGCCATTTGAAAACCATCCTCAAAACCAAATCCTTTGATCTAAATGCAGTTTAAAAGGGTAAGTGAATTGTAATTGGTGTTTATTCTGGCTACGTTTCAGTTTGGAAACTGTGGTTCGGTTGATCAGCATGGATTTGCGAGGAACAAAATTTGGACCATCGAGGATGATCCTCCTCCATTGCATGCTAGTGATTCTCTTGGCAAATCTTTTGTTGATTTATTACTCAAACCAGCCGAAGAAGATCTCAAGTGCTGGCCTCATGGGTAATTGCTTGCACCTTTTCTGACTATTATTTGGAAGATAATTTACAAATATCTTTCAACATTATAGATAACCCCTTGATAAATAAACCTCAAGGCATATTAGCAATATCTTCCATATTGTATCCCATAGGTGGGTATTTGTTTTGTAAACACGAACCTGAAGGTTGTCTTTGTAATTTGAATGATAAATTTCTTCTGTGCAAGTAGGTGAATCATATCTGTAGGTTTTCTTTATTTTGCAGTGAAAGATTGTGCTTTATTAACACTACAGAGGTTAATTGTTCACTGCGAATTGGAAAATGATCTTTTTCCCAGTAGCAGTACTTTAACTTTTTCCCCCTTGTGCAATTATATTTGTTTAGTTTGGATACACTTTTTACAGTGTAATTATTGATTGATTTTTTTTCATTTTTATCCTCCTGGCAGCTTTGAATTTCGCCTCCGAGTCTCTCTAACATCAGTTGGAAACTTGATGTTAGTATCTCGTATCAGGAACATAAATGGGAAACCTTTCAGTTTCTCGTTCGGCTATCACACGCACTTTTCTGTTTCTGACATAAGGTAAATTCCAAATTGAGAATTTCCCATTCTTTAAGTAGTTAGTTTGCAATATGGGATTGTTGTTACTGTATGCTATGGAGAATTACTCTGTATAAAAATTGATGAGGTGATGATGTGTTTTTTATATTATTCTTTCCAATTACACTGCAAACTGCAAAAGTATGGATTTGTATGAACGACATTTTTTTCTGTTTCTGACGTTTGTGTGTTAATATTAACAGTGAAGTGAGGATAGAAGGTTTGGAAACTCTCGATTATCTGGACAATCTCTGTCAGAAAGAACGCTTTACCGAGCAAGGTGATGCCATTACATTTGAATCAGAGGTAAAATCTTGTCCATTCATGCCTTATTTACTCTGTTTTCGACAAGAAATTACTGTTTCCAAATTTAGGAGGCAATCAAAATGTGTTGTTGTCATGTTCCCTCTCACAGTTCTGTATTATATTGTGTAATCAACTTTCTGGTGTGTTTTTACGTTATACTGATATTTTTTATTTTATTTTTATCTTTTGGGTTTGCAGGTAGACCGTGTTTATCTAAGCTCACCACAGTGCGTTGCTGTTCTGGATCACGAGAGGAAGCGAACATATGCAATGAGAAAGGAAGGGCTACCAGATATTGGTAATCGATATGCATGTGTTTTGACAGAAAATATATATAGATATATAATGCTTAAGTCTTAATTAGTGGAAGTTAGAAATATGGTTTGTGATCAACTTCTTTGAATATACACTTGCATTTGGTCAAGTTTCAAACTGTGGAAAACTTGGGGTGCAATATATACAGTGACTGGTTCCAATGGGATCTATTTTTAAATGAGAACGTAAGGTTTAATCGCAACAATCCATCTATTTAGATCTAATGAATGTAAATTTACTATAGAAATGAATGTCATTATTCCTCTAACTATGCATCGTTGATTATGCAAATGTGCTTCATTCAACATCTAAACGAGCTGTATGTCATGTTTGTAAGTATATTATCAGTGCTCACTTAGCTATTTAAAATATTTTATTGGTCAATTAATCACCAACAACTTTAATGCATATTTAGAAATGTATGAAAGCATAGCTCTGTCTTGAATGGCTAGAATTCGGCCTCGCGATCCTATTTTAAGAAGTGGTATGCAGTNGTGTGTTTGCAAATCCTAAATTTTATGTTTTTTGTGTAGTTGTTTGGAATCCATGGGAGAAAAAGTCGAAAGCAATGGCAGATTTTGGGGATGAAGAATACAAACAGATGCTTTGTGTAGATGCAGCAGCAGTAGAAAAGAACATCACTTTGAAGCCTGGGGAGGAATGGACGGGCAGGATTGAACTTGCAGCTGTGCCCTCCACCTTTTGCTCTGATGATCTCCATCCACAATTCAACTTCTTCTGACCAATATCTCATCAAAATTTCAACCTCTATACATCGTAGTGACTCGTTTAATAATTAAAGAAGCCCATGGTTTTTGGAGATGGCTGCTACCATTTAGATTGTGTCTTCGCGTTTCTTTTTTTTCTCTTTGTTTTTGCCTTTTTCTTTTCTGTTTGCTGTCCTTCCTTTTGCTGAAAAGCTTGGTTGTAGCAAATCTTTGAAGGCATTTTGATTCTTTATGAGAAATAATATTCATATGTTGGTTAATGTATGGCTGTTAGAATATTTGTCCTGAGATTAGTGTAATTATGGAAGAGCTCCTTTGATCTCCTAAAAGTTAATTTTACAATAATAAGGTTAAAACATGAGGCAAGCTTATGTAAATTAACCACCACATTTGTAGTCAAATACCATGTCTCATTTAGATGTTTTGCATATAACACTTCCCAATGTGTTGTTATGCAGAGTTCATTTTCTTGCTATGCAACAGAATATAATATTATCAATCAACTTAGTCTCTAACATTCATCATAAACACATCATCTTGATAACCATTAATTGGAAAAAAATGCAAACTCCAAACAAAAAATTAATGCACCTTGAATACCATTTCTGATTATAACTAGCAACTTGGGACCAAACTATAACATGTCCTTCAACACCAGAAAATCATTACACAAAAATTTAGTTCCAGAATTTCTACTGCCGAACAACTTTGAAACCAAAAAGAAAAGAAGAAAAGAAAAACAGAAAAATCCAAAGCCTCAAATTTTCAGACCTCGAGTAAATACAAGCAATAGCAAGTCATAACTAAATCGTCAAACAAGACGAGCCCAGTAAGACACTTATATTTGAGATATCTTCTACTTGGGAACAAATTATACGCCCCTACGAGACTCCAACTGCTTCGTATTCTCCAATAATATCTGTCAAGTGAACCAACATCAGATTGCAAGAAACAATTTGTCATGCTAAAAATTCAATGTGTGAAATGAATTATAACTGTAACCACTGAGAATAAATTCCAACAGCCCTTACTTCTCGTACATAACTCGCCACAGCTTTGCAACCTTCTATAGCAAGTTGCATCACATTCTCAAAAGTATCCATTTGTAGCTTAGCATCCATCTACAGATGTATCATCATTGGTCGATTCAAACATAAGCAAAGAGACAGGAAACTTTATTGTTAAAAGATCGACAAGGTTAATACAAATTTTACCCACAAGGTTCAGTCTAATTACAAATAGGCCAAATTAGCTCTCCCTCTTCTGTGAATTGCTCTCTTAAGAGGGATATTTGCCAGGTAAATGAAAAAAAAAACAATTTTTATTATGTTTCTAAACCACTTTAAGGGGAAAGCACCTGAAGGAGGGTGACTTTATCTAGCTTAGGCAAAATGCCAACTGTAACGTCTGGCCCGCCAGCACTATCTTCCACATAGTTCAGATCTGTTTCAGTTGTAAGATCGGTATTATTTACTAGATAATAGAATCATAAAGAATTAATTAAATAATAAATAAAAACTGCATAATAACCTAGAAGTGGAGTCCCGTTTAGGTATCCAGCACCACATGAGGTCACAATATCACGCATTGGAATACCAGCATCAGCAAGCGCCAGAGTTGCTGCATTTATGCATGCAGATCGTGTTCCTGAAAAAATAGTAATAGATTCTGAGAAAGAGAAAAAGAAGAAGAAAAAAAAGTTTATTTGGACAAAATAAACACAACTAACTATCTTCCAGGAGTGTGTTGTAACTGCTTAAGGGGGTAATATTTAACTTCTTAGGGACAAATGGTTAATAATTAAGCTAAAATTTAAGGATAGGTCTTGCAATTATTCCCAAGAAAAGAATAATGTTGATGCCACTTATACAACTGAAAGAAGAATCATGAACATGACAAGGATCCAGTCTTATTACCTCCATCTGCTTGGAGAACTTGGACAAAAATGTCTATCTTCAAAATACACAGAACAAATAAATTATTTTAGAGACGAAAAATAGAAGAAAAACTATATGAGACAATCTTGGTTGGTAAGACTTCAATAGAACCTGAGAACGAGGCATTAGGTGTGTCAATATGCAGGCCTCCATAGTCTGGCGAATGACCAATGATATTTCAGTGGACCGCCTGCGCCATGAAAATTTACTCGAGTTAATTCCATATATACATATATAACGCATATACACATAAATCACAAAACATTATGGCAACAGAAGAACAAATTTCATTTCCAAGTTTTCAAGAAAGACATTAACAGATGAAGCTCATCAGTAGTGAAGGATAGCTATATGCAACTTTGGAAATGAGACTCCGGCATTGAATTACCATGTAGTAACTAATGTCCTGGATACAAATAGAGCATAACAATTGATCTGCGAGTGAAATTACCTATCACCCTTAGGTTTCCTCATGCGATCTCCTGTGCTGAAATTAGCCATGCTGTACTCACAGCGTACCTGAGAATATTATGTCATATCAAGGATAAGCACCCAGAATTATGGTGGGCATGGAAAAAATTATCACAAAACATGCATCAGATTCTGTGAAAGGTGATTACCAGTGCCTTGTCATTAATTTGTTGACTCCTATTTTGGACCTGAAACATATTGATTGAGAACGTGGTTTCAACTGATAAATTGCTCATAGAAAATCCATGAATTGTCAAACAAGCAATCATCGGTTATCATCTCTGATGCAAATCTCCATGTTGTAAATACATACCATCAGAACAGATGCATAGAGTGAATCCCCATACCAGGTTACCGGCTGCTCTATGCAGTTCTATTACATAATCGCCACATAGTATTGACAGTATAACATAAAAAGAATTAAAGAAAAGTAAGTTCTGTTAACAAGTAAATGGGGTGAAAAGCTCAACGAGAAATTGCTTCCATTCAATTTCTTTTGTTTTAGCACAAAGGGTTATATACTCATCATGTTTGCCTAGACAAATATCAACAGAAGCGTCAATGGCATTAGTATGACAATGAATTCCACAAAAATCAAATGTCATATACTCATCATGTTCAGCCTAGACAAATATCAAGAGAAGCTTCAATGGCATTAGTATAATAATGAATCCAACAAAAAATCGAATGTAAGCATGCACACATCAGCTCTTTTTTTTTTTTTCTAAAGGAAAAAGATCTTCACAAAAGACCTATGTCTAGACATAGCATTCCAATCTGAAATGTCGCAACATGTGCAAATCAATACAAAGACTAACTTTTAGTTATAATTAACTTTAAACTATATCCAGATATAGCATTCGAATCAGCCATGTTGCAACATGTGCATATCGATATAAGACTACTTTTAGTTGCAACTAACTTTAAAGTATATCTAGACATAGCATTCGTATCTTCCAGTCGCAACATGTGCAAATCAATATAAAGACTCTAATTTCTAATTACAACCAACTTCAAACATTACTCGACACAGGCAACTAGCTGTTAGACTCAAAATAATGAAGTATGACAGGAATTAGAAGTTTGCTGAAATACATTCTTATATATCAGATAATAAAGAATTTCCTGGTTCTTTTCACGAGAGGAAAAAAGGTACCTCTCTGGGACCGTAAACCGCAGCAATGACCTTAGTGTTGCCCATTTCAAAAACTGCAGACCTGCAATTAACAGCATACATTTTTGTTAGAGAGAACTTGGTTGGTCACTCATACAATCAATTCACCAGCGCTTTTTAACAGAAACCGGCGAAAAATAAGCAAGATTGAAAAACCCGTCAGCTCTTGAGACTACGCCTATCTCCCCACGAAGCTGCCTCATCTGAAATTCAAAAGAAGAAAAAACATAAAATACCGAAAACTAGGGGGCAATAAAAAAAGATAAGTAGCGAGGAACTAAACCTCCATAGGACGGCGACCATCTAGGCGAAGACCTTCGGGGTTGACGTACTCCATATTAGGTTTCGAGGGTACTGTATGAGAGAGAGTAGAGAGATAGGAGCAAAAGAGAGGGCCACCGTACGCCGCCGCAGATGGTGGTTGCTGGTGATTTATGTGGAGGTTGTATTCTTGAGTTGTCTAATTGGGCTATGAGATGATTCAAGTGAATTCCAATTGACAGGAATATATGGGGCTGGACAAGAATAATAATTATTATTGGGCTTTCTAACCATATTTAGAAAGAGGGCCCAAACTCTAAAGAAGCTGAAATTTTCATTTTCGTAAGAAGGGTGTGGCAGTGAACCGGTGGGCAATCACCAAATTAAGTGAAAAGGTGCAACATAAATGACAGGGAGGTAGCCGCTCAAGCTACTACTTCGACAGCTTTGGGTCGACCACGACTTTTGGCATCCGATATATCTACAAGACATTTCACGAAGGTGGAAGATTCAAGAGAGAGTCCAAAGTAGTTTCGTTGTACTTAATTGCAAGCATAATATAAGAGATAACACGAATATGTACTACTTTAAAACTGGTGATGGTTGCAGAACCTTGACTTGATACATATGTATGTATGGTCTAACCACCTGACCACAATGGACACTGAGTTGAGCCAAATACAAGCCCCAACTGGGATATGGATCTCGAATTGAAACTACAATTGGAATTGTCGACACATGTTTTTCTTTTTTATTTAATTACTCTGATGCAAACCATAAACGTCATTAATCTTCAATCTTCATGAAGACGATTGGGCTGGACCTCAAACTATTATGAACTTTTTGGAACAGTCTAAAAATGTTGCCGATGTTATTTGGTGTCTACAATACTACTGCTCAAATTGTCCCTATTATATTTGAGTTCTATGTGTGGGTTTAGATATTTTATCTGAGTGATCTGAAGATAATCGTGTAAATTTAAATGATATGTTGTAAGCATTTCTATAAAAAAATGTATCTTCTTTTACCACGAAAAAATTCATCAAGTAAATGACGGATAATTACGAAGTAATCAACCTTCTAAACAAAGTTTATACACAATTTTATTGCACTCCCGTAGAGAAGTTAGCTAGAAAGTTTGCAATTTTTCTATATTTTTTTATTATATATGTAATATGTTAGTAACAATATAACCATATTTATAGTAAATATAGTATAATTTTATAAATGATATAACAATAATATTAATATTGACATAAATAAAAAATAATATTAATATTGACATAAATAAAAAATAATATTAATATGAATTTAAATTTATTTTTATGATAATATAGTGATAATATGGATGATAATATAATTATATTCAAGTTCCATTCATTTAGTACATCAAATAAAATAACTTGTTCATTCATTTTGTAAACCATTTAATTTTTTACTCATTCAATTCCTATTTTATATTATACGATGAGTCACATTTAATTACTCAAATATGATATGGTGCTTGATTTTTATGAATTTTTTGTTCTTGATTTTTGAATAATTCAAGTCTTATAGTATGTTTTTTTGCTCCCACAAAACGAGGTCAAAACATAACCATATTGACTCCAAAGAAGTAGGATATCTGACTATCTCCTGCACTCGCAAACTCACTCTCAGACCCTTTCTTATATAAGGACACTAATCGCAGATCAAAATGTTCACAGAGAAATAAATCATTCTCTTAATATCGGATTTAATTGTTGTTTCAGTTACTTGGAAGCACGACTTTTTCTCTTCGTCAACCCGTTTTTAAGCTAAACCTCACTCAAAATTTTTACTCACACTCATTATTAATTACTATTAGTATTATTTTTTCCAGAATTTCTTTACTCGCCGATCATTCCTCGTCTTCTTGATCTGATGTAATCATTTGATTTTCATATCATTTGGCCGTCAAAATGAGCGACTCAAATTCACAACCCATCAAATACTCCGTCCACAAAACCGTCACCACGAAGCACATCTCCCCGCCGTGCGCTGGCCGGATAGTCAGGATATCCATCACCGACGGCGACGCCACGGAGTCCTCCGGCGACGAACGCGGCTACGCCAACTGCCGGCGCGTGCGGAAGCACGTGAACGAGATCAGGGTGGAGGCCGAGAGGCCGCCGCCGCCGCCGACGGCGGCGTCGGCAGCTCCCGCCACCAGGAGAGGCGGCCAGCAGGAGAGGAGCGCCGCCGCCGCGAAGAAGAAGCCGTCTCCATCTCCGGCGGCGGGGGCAGAGGGCGGAGAGAAAAAGTACCGCGGCGTCCGACGGCGGCCATGGGGGCGGTACTCAGCGGAGATCCGAGATCCGGCGCTCCGGACGAGGGTCTGGTTGGGCACCTTCGCGACGGCGGAAGAGGCCGCCGTTGTCTACGACAGGGAAGCGATCCGGATACGTGGGCCGGACGCCACCACCAACATCATCCGGCCGCCGCCCAGGGCGGCGGCCAACTCCGGCGAGGAGGAGTCGTTGGAGAATCTGTCCTCCCCGACCTCCGTCCTTAAATCGCGGTACCTGAAAACAGCCAACTCCGGCGAGGAGGAGGATCAGAAGGGCGGGGTGGTTGAAGATCCGCCGCCGCCACCGGAGTTGCTGATGGATGACTGTCTGCCGTTGGATCAGTGCTTCCTCAAGGACTATTTTGATTTTCGGTCGCCGTCGCCGTTGATCTACGACGAGGTGAGGGTGCAGGAGACGGTGTTGGAGAATGTTCTTTTGGACGGCCTGGATTTTGAGTTGAGTCACGAATTCGGGTCGCTGACGTGGGATGTCAGTGAATTTCTCGAAGATCAAATTTTGGTTGGTTGAGATTTTACCTAATAATTAACTCCAAATCCTAATCGCACACGTGTGTGTATGTTTCAGTAGATGCCGCTACTAGGCTTGCGTAATTTTGGTACATGCATGTATTCGTGTATTATTTAACAATTACTAAAATTGAATGCATGTATTCAACAATCAGACAAACATGTACAACATACTTTAAGAAACATAAACCTATAAAAAATTATCAACAAATATTACAATTGTAAACCAACTAGTCCAAAAACCTCCTCACACGTAGTGGTAATTACGTAACACTATTATTATTAGACAGATATAATGAGTTAAACAACTAATTTTTTCGAACAAACATCTGTTCTTTTAAATTGAATATTTTAAAAAATAATATAAATAAAAATATGATATATATTTTAGCATAAATAATATAAATAAAAATATTTTCGAACAAACATCTGTTCAAACCTAAAAGCTCCTCTCCAAAGCTCGATTGAGAAGATGGACATATGGAATTCCAGTTCATAATTGAATGCATGTAAAAAAAATCGAGTTAGGTAGGTAGCATATAATTAAACTGATAAATTTTCACTAATAATCTAGCATTCAACATTTTCTATTTTATGTTTTTTCTATTTTAATATCTTAAGCTTATGTGATACCTTTTTGGCTGCTGGAACCTTGAATATAATTAAGGGATTATAATATCATATATAAATAAAATAAACACACTGTTTTACATGTTTCACGTGCCTAAATAATAAATCGAGATTAGATTTACTAACATTGTAGGCAAGGACAACAAAAATATTGATTTGCATGTGTTGTTAACATATAATTTGATCTGCAATTAAAGGGATACAACAGAACACTTACTTTTGATCTAAATTGCCTATTTTAGAATAGTGCCAAATGTTGTTCCGTTATCGGCAATATTTTTTGAGGCAGACTCATTACTCATGCTTGGATGATCTTTTTATCTCCAACCTATGATTTTACATATATTCGGTATGTATGATTTGGGTTGGGTTCCGGTGAGAATGACTCTTAATGCGAGAACTAAGAATAAATTTGGTACACACGATCAATGAAATCGAACGGACAACACAGGCCCGCTGGAATTTAATTGCACTATCAATTGGAGGGTAATAACGTAAATACGCCAATTTCATGAATTAATTGAAGTCCTGCAGTTGGAAACCCTCAACTAAGCTCATACCCGCACATACATCAAATCCCGCAGCTGTGTATTTTCGGGAGCAATTAACACGAAACCGATTGGAACTATTCCACTCGCTTGAGATTTCACGACCGATATTCAATATCTCGAGCTCGATTTTCCCAGGAGATTTCCATACCAATTTCTCATTCGCGATTCTGAAACATCCGATTGAACCGCTATATTACATATTCAACGACTTCAGGTATATCTATCACCAGCTATAATCCGATCCATTGATCAATTATTGTACTAAATCGAGTGTTGGTTTAATTATCAACATGTCAAAATATGTAATATTCATATAGTAATCAGTGGATAATCGATCTGATATACTTGGTTTTTACATATGTTTTTAGGAATTTCATACGTTTTCTTGATTGAGCCGCATAAACAATGGAATTAAATGAATCTCAATCAGGTACTGAGGACATATTTATTCATACTGTGATAAAGTGCAACAATCGATTCTATTACGTGCAATCGTATGTTCACATCGGTGCAATCGGTGGGTTTAGTTTATTACTACTGATATGTTTTTTTTTTTTTTTTTTTTTT